CCTCACTTGTTATAAAACTGGATTTGACCAGTTTCGGTTGACGGCCCTTGGTTTTTAAACTGGAAGAGATGGTAAATGGTCGATTCTTGGCCATCATCTCCATGGCATGTATATTTCTACAGACTTTTACCAGATCCTCTCAAAGTCATCTTTTTTCCAGGCCAGAGTCCTCGCCTGCTGCATTGTTTCTTACACAGAAACCATTCCCTAGTGTTTATCATCATTGTTGCTCTTCTCTGATGCTTTTTCAGGAGCACTTATAAATTGAACAAACAATAGCAACAACAAAAAAACCCCAAATGTGCACTGTGTATTTGTGCAATGGACAGGGAGAGGAGGGAGAGGGATCTCTTTGGAAATGTTTTCTGTCTAATGGTTGTAATCAAAGGCACATAGTAATTTTTAAAGGAAATTTAGGATTAGCATTATCAGTTATTGACAAAGACTGCTTTAGAGCTTCTAAGTGAAGGAAAACTGCTGTAAAGGTGCAGGGGTAGAAACATCCCCTCAAGCTACGTAATCCATTTGGTGTTCAGCACTGTCAGCCCTATACTTCTGGAAGATATGGAAAATATAAAGACTTGGTTTTTTAATTGCTCTCTAATGATTAGAGACCCAGGATAATACTCCTTCCAAGAGCTCAAGTTTCTCTTTTAGATTAAAAGTCTACTGGCAGTGATTATTGATATCTAAGATACCTTGATGCAACGTGCTGTGGTACCTTTGGGTGTGGTGCAGGCATGACCCACACTCTCAGAGATGGGGAGAGTGTTTGTGCAAGAGGTTCCCAGTCGTTCTGTCCCTAATTTTTATTTATTCTTTTGGTGTGTTAATGCTGTGGCAAAGTTTCTGTGTGCACAGCCATCCATTCTTTCATTATACCCACCTATCCCTTGCGATAAGCCTTGAATCAGTGTTCTCGGATACAATTTTGCATGCCTGTTCTTCTGAAAGGGACCTGAAGGTCCACCTCCTTCCCAAAGAGTAGGTGTTTGGCACTTTCTGAAATGAGGCATCTTCAAAGTATTTCAAATCAGGCATCTGAAATGACCGGTCATGTCTGGAAAACTTGAGCTCTGAGCTCTGCATGTCTCCCCATGGAAAGGTCAGATCTTGCTGTAGTCAGCTGACATTGCTGGGAGGGTGTGGACTTTGCAGAGACAAAGCGTACGCAGAAGCTGAGCTAGAGCGCTTCTGGGTGAGATGCCTGGCTGGCAGGGATGCTCGATGCTCCTTTCTTTCTTGTAGATTGAATGGAGAGGCATTGAAGTTCTGGCTGTGATATGGCAAGGGACATGTGAACGGCCGGGTGACTGATATTGCATTTCTCCCTTGCCTTTCACCTGCCTTTCAGAGCTGCCTCGCATGACATTTGCCGTGGCCCTGGAGCCTGCTGGGCGGGCTGGCGTAGGGGAGGCACTGGGACTGGCCATCTGCTAGTGCCTGAGTCCCGCACGGTCCCCTTGCTGCATGACCTTGAGTCTAATCGCCCGGCTGCACTGTCCCCTCTTGCCGCTGCCTCCTCCTCTTTCCCCCACGCACCTCCTGTCTCCCAAACGGGGCCTGGGAGGCGGGTAAGCCAGCGGAAGTGTTGAGAGCTGCCTGGCTGTTGTTTGGCTTGCTGTTAGCTCAAAAGGCTGGCGACAATAGCCCTCATCTGTAGGGGATAAGGATCAGGGAATGCTGCCTCCCTATCACGGGGAGTTTGCTGCCTTTTGGAAAAAAAACAGATGCACAAACCTATCATTTCTTATTAATTTTAAAGTAGCTCTTGGCTCGCTACCTCCTCCGTATCAGCCCTTGCATTGTCAGTAAATTATATTGGATTTGCAATTAAAAGCCAGCTGTGCCAGTGAAGTACCAGCCAAATGCCACCATAACTGTCTCCTGGGCGTCCTAGGGGAGGCGTGGAGCACACAGCTCCTCCTCCAGTGAGCTCTTCTCTCACTTTGAGAGGGAAAGATAAGAGTTTAAAATGGGATCTCAGGCGCATTATTTTTGTCAATCAGAACGCTTGCTCGCTAAGAAATGTAGTTCTTTTTCTTGATACTGCATGTTCGTGGATATAGCAATTCCCAGAGCTTGAAAACTGCCAAACACTCTTCACCATGCAAAAAGTTAACTGTTTGAGGAGAGTATTTGTAGTGGTGGGTGTCTGTCTCAGGCTGGTTGGTTTTTCTCCTTCCCTTTCTCAGTTAAAATGATTTATTGGAGAAGTATCTCTGCTTCTGCTGTGCGGGTTTTTTTTAAGTGTTGAAAAGCATCTCTGCCCATCTGTGTTGGAGCAGGAGTTTGCAGCCAGGCAGGGGGAAGAGCACTGTGTATGTGCCGCTCCCTGCCCCTCTGGAGATCCACCCCGTTCAACCAACTCCTGAGCCTTTGTGTCACACCTCTCGAAGGCTGAACAGCAAACTTGCTGCAAGTTGTAGCAAAACCCCGACTGTTTTGTCTTCCTTCCATGCTGGAGCTGGGCAGGGCTGCTTCTGCACCCGCTTCTTCAGTCCCTCAGCTGCTTGGGCTCCTGGAGCCAGAACGGGAAGCAAGGAGCTCTTCGGCTCTTACCTCTCTCACTTTTGGCTGGATCAGGAGGGTGCAGCAATCCAGTGCAAGAGGGAGTAGGAGAGGAGGAATGTAGAAAGTGGGTCTCTTCCGAACCTGGAGCAGGACTCCAGGTTGTAGGGTTACAGGCAAGATCCCAAAAACCACTGGCAAGGGAAGAAGGAAACCCACATTAGTGCTGGCCATGAGGGAGGTGGGATTTGACATCTACCAAAAGGCTGCGTGCATCAGGGCGCAGAGATCTGCGCTGTGGGTCCCCCAGGTCATGATCTTGTCAGCGAGCTTTGGAAGGGCCAATACATGTCTGATAAAATGATCTTTTTCAACTGGATAGTTGGAAAACTCCTCAAAGAATTCCTATGTAAAAAAAAAAACCAGCACTGCATTAAAAGCCTGCAAAACACGGTCGTGCACTCAGCTGAGAAATACCTGAATGAGTGTTGTGTGTGCAACTTTTAATTCCTCCTGCTGCATGTTTGCCTTGTGGTGCAATTTTAATTGTGTCATTGCGTGCAGGGTATCTGTATGCTGTAGCAAGGCTACATGTGCATACAAAAATTGTATTATTAGCTGTTTTTAGGTGTGCAATAAAGATCTTGCCCTTCCTGCTGCTTCAAAAACAGTTCACTTCAAAGGCTGTATTATTGTCCTTTGGCCTTTACGGGGTGAGAGAAGAGGCTGTCTGCACCTTAGATGCGTTAGTGGTCTCTAGTGGTATCTTTCCCCAGGATGAAGAGATTGGTACAGCAAACAGTGGGGGAGTATTTGCCTCTGTTGTTCCTCTCCCTGTTCGTTTCGAACGTGCTAGCTTTCCCCGTCCTCCCCTTAAATCACATTATTTCATAAAGAGTAAAAAGAAACATAATTTGGAGCAGCAGCGAGCTGAGCCCAAGTTAATAGTTTGAATTGCACTCCATCTGTTCAGCTGCATGGCCTGATGGATGTGCTGAACCCATTTTTCACAGTTTGTTTTAAGCTGGTAAAAACCATCTCTCCTGACTCCAGTCCAGGCTGGCTGTGGAGAAAAAACTTCGTATCTGGACATCCATGTCCAGAGGGTGGGATTGAGTCAGTAATCCCCAGATGCCAGGCTACCTCTTCCACCTGCAAGTTGCTAGTTTTTGAAAGATTAAATTCTCCTCTGGACTTGAATATTGTTGTTGAAAATTAGAGGGGGGGGGTGGAATCCCAATGTACACGTGCACCCAGAGGATGAAATTTGCAAACGTGATTATGCAGGACCTGCTTAAAATTGGCTCATTGCTGTTTTATGATGGCAAGCAAGCAGTCACAGAAGCCAGGGTGATTGGCCTCGCCATGTGCACATGCTGCTGGTAACTCAATAACCGATGAACACCCACCGTGGTCTCCAGACCTCGAGCCTTTGATGTAGCAACAAACAAGATAGATTGCTGTAATTTATCTGGCCCCTGGAGGGCTGTGCTGGTAATGTGCCATGAGCCCAAGGGCCAGCCATCCATAATCTGTGTAAAAATACAGCAGATCGCAGTTGCCATGCTGCGGGATTGTCTTTGTTCCATGCTGCAAGAGTTTGCGTGTGTACAATGCACAGTACTGGGTCTCGATTTCCAGCAGCCAGGGGCGGTAAGTCTTAGTGTAATGTGCCCACTCCCTCCATTAACTTTAATTGTTTTTGTTATGTACTAAATGTACTCCTTTCAAATAGGCTTAGGAAGGCAGTGCTGGAAACGTGGTATTTCCCCGTATGCCTTTACAAGTGTGACAGAGAGACTGGAGGAGACATGCTGGGTTTGGGGGAAAAAGAATGGGGTTTTGTACCAGCCAAAGCCTTCGGTGGGTTTGCTGATGGAGGACGAGTGCTTGTGGCATTGCTGTGGGTGGCCCGGAAACCCAAGGAGAGGGAGCGTAGCCTCCTGGCTTGCACATGGGCCTCTCTCCTGGTGGAAGACGGTCCTGGTTGGGCTGTGCCAGGAGAAGACGGAGTTGCTGCCGAACCGTGGAGCCCCACCAGTGGCACCGGGGTGTTGCAGAGGTGTTGCGTGCCACCTCCTAGTGCCTTCCAGCAGCAACCCATGCCTGGGATCGCAGGATGATGGGGATGGAAAACAAGAGTAGCACTGAAAACAAAGCCCTGTCAGCTTGAGTTTCTCGTTTGTTGCCATGCGGCGCAGTACCTTTTTGTGCCTGGATTCTTATCACTACCAAAGAAAGGTTTTATGTTATCTCAACACCACTTTTTTCATGGGGCATTTTAAAAAACACTTCACTTGGGTCAGCAAGAAAGCTGCAACGTGGCTGGGGGGGTGCTGTGCCAGAGCCCAGTGTGCCAGCTGTAAAATGGGGTGCGAGGGCTTGCCTTGCCAAGCACGGCCACAGAAGGGATAGGACTGGTACGTTGGGGGGGAGGCGCGGGGGCTGCCTGCCGAGAAGTAACGCTGGGCTCCTCTCCTCCCACAGGCATGGCCTTGGCCCAGCGGCAAGTGGCGGTGCAGGAAGGGCCCCTCTACCGCACAGAGGGGTCCCACGTCACGCTGTGGTGCAAGGTGAGCGGCTACCAGGGCCCGGCGGAGCAGAACTTCCAGTGGTCCATTTACTTGCCCTCGGCCCCTGAGCGGGAGGTGCAGATCGTCAGCACTGTCGACCCCTCCTTCCCCTACGCCATCTACACCCAGCGCGTGCGCAGCCGGGGGATCTACGTGGAGCGGGTGCAGGGGGACGCCGTCCTGCTGCACATCACTGACCTGCAGGACCGGGATGCCGGGGAGTACGAGTGCCACACGCCCAACACCGACGAGAGGTACTTTGGGAGTTACAGCGCCAAGATGAACCTCGTGGGTAAGCTGTCCTGTTAACAGCATGGCTGGGGCAACAGGGCATCTCCCAGTGGCGTGCAGCAGAAACCCATGAACCCCCCCATGTGCGATGTAGTCCACGTAAGCCATCAGAAAAAACACCAATGAGGAGAATAGGAGCAGAGAGCAGGGGACACGGTGGTGTGAATTGCAGGAAATCACGGTATAGAGACGTAGGAGAAATCAAGCTTTCTCTAGTAATAAGACCTTATAAAGAAGAGAAACCAGGCAGCATAGCCAGAGAGAGGAACGTGTGAAGCCATGGCTGAAAGCAAGCGGGACATGGAACTGATTTACGCAGAGAGAGAGGGGTAGAGAGGCTGCTCCAGATGGCACAAGCTGCAGAGGAGAGCTCTGTGTGCCAAAGGTGGCAAAATAGCGGAGCGGGGAAGAGAAGAGCGATAATGAGCAGCACGTAAAGGGAACGGGAGAGATGGTCATCTTCAGGCTCTTAACAGAGGGCAGTGCTGAATGCGTCCTGAAACGAGCACACCAGTCAAATTGAGTTGTCTGTAGATGAATGTGGGGGAGTTGGTTTCGGGCTTTTTTTTTGTCTGTGTTAGAAAAATCGAAAACAGGTTCTTTAGAATCTGGAGTATTTCCACAGCACCTCTCTGACTAGCTGATTTGACCTTTTCAAGCTTCAGCTTGCTTTCTGTATCTCAAAATGGGATTGGATTTGAAGTCTTTAACTCAGCTAACAGCGGTCAAATAGCTTCCATCAAACTCTTTGGCTGAAGGACTCCTAAAAGAGCTCCTCTACAGCAGAGGCGCCCCTCTAGCAAATTTAAACCCACAGACAGCAGGCTTGTTTTCCTTAGGAGATGTTCGTGAGCCTGCTGGTCTCCAGTTTAGAAACCACTTTGGCATTATCCAGGCGTGGTAGCTGGTCAGGGTGTTGCCCGTGCAGGCAGTGTTGACACAAGAAACCCGTTGTGAAAGGGGCAGAGGTGTGAATTTAAATCACAATAGCCATCCTTTGGGCTGTGCTTCCTTGCCCTCCCACTTGTGTGCTCCTTGGCTTCTTCCCTTTGGAGGTGCCAGCCCAGCCACTCTCCCAGGCGAAGCCCCACAGCTTGGGTACAGGCACTTCCTTAGTTGCCTGCTTTCCCATCTGATGTCCATGAGCAGTCGGGAGGTAGATGCCTGAATACTCTTTTTCTCTTTCTTCTTTTTTTTTTTTTGGTAGTTCGGTGATTTGCTTCAGGTGTCCAGGTTTGCAGTTCCCACTTTAGTTTATACAGGTCTGAGTCAGCGCTGCTGCTGTAAAGTCACCTCAGGGAGTGAACCCTATTGAAAACCAACACCTGGTGAAAAAAAAGTGCCTGGGGGCAGGGTGGGGTTGCGGTAGTCAGGGTTTGCAGCTGGGTTCCTCTGCCAGGGAGCTGCACTTTGTGGAAACCAGCCCATGAGCTGGGGTCCTCACAGGAGAGCCATTAGAGCAAGTGAGAGTACCTGCGTTAGCCGCTGGCGTGGGGCACAGTGCAGGACAGGGATGTGGGCGAGTGAGCGTAGCCAGCGTGTCTGATGGCTTGGCAGCGGAGAGCTCCTCCACTGCTCTCCCCAGGGACTGGGGAGCCGGTGCCCTCCAGGTTTTAACTGTAGCTCAGCAGCTTCTTCTGTGGCCAGCCTGGGGCTTGCTGAGTAAGATGCTTTTGCTCTGTCCCACCCTTGCCACTGGTACAAGGCACGTAAGGTTTGGGACTCCGTAGACACCCATGAATAGTGCTTTGAGGACATTGGCTTCGGGGCTTACGTGTGTCTGGGATGCTCAATAAAATTGATCTAAAGTAACTTTCAGTGGATTAGTTAAATCACATTATGCCCCTTCATGGATGCTTGTGCTCGGAATTTGGGGCCCTAATTTGGTTTAGCTTAATTCATTTCTAAACATTCACTTCAGAAGTGACTTAGAGTCACTTGTGTTTTGAATGTGTGTATCCGCATAGGTGTTTTCTGTGGTTTAACCAAACTCTGACAAACTGAATTTTCCAAAGTGCCCCTTGCGATGACCTGTAGACAACAAGCCCTTACGGAGGGCCTCCTCTTTGGCTCCTGTTCATGTGAACCGGTGCTGACTTCAGCCCTGTCAGACCCTGAAGTCCTGCTGGGGAAACAGGCTCCTCTGTGCAGGGCTGGGCAGAGCACACACCCTTTTTTTTCCTGTCATTTTAGCTCTCAGCTACAGGTTGTGGGTTTTCAGGCCAGCTTTGTTGCTGCAGACAATATGCAAAAAGAGGTACACGAGAGTTAAATGAGAGTTATTGTTCTCATTTTCTCAGAAACAGAACCAAACTTTTTTTTTTTCTTTCATCCAGTTATGAATTTTTAATTGACTCATTAGATTGAGTGGCTCTTTTTTGGCAGCAGCAAAGCCTGGAGGGAGACAGGTTTGTTAGCATCTGTATTCTCTCCGTTTTTGTGTGAAATGGATGGGTTTGGAGCAGTGTTGATTTTAGACTTGCTGCTCTGGGAGCTTTGAGTTGTTGTGTCCTGTGGTTTGAGGGAAGAGTTGAAGGAAGAGTCTCCCCTTTTCAGCCAGGCAATACAGCCCTGTGATGGGGGAGCTGGGAGTTTAGGGGGAGCTGGATGGAACACTGGTGCAGCAGCATATGGGGCTGCTGTCTGCACCGGGACATCTCAGCTTGCAGCAGAGCAGCTGGGATGTGTCTTTGCTCCTGCTATCTGAGCAGCATTGAGGGCTGTATATCCAGGGCTCTGCAGCTGCTAAAAAATAGTCTTGTCAGCTTCAAAGATGTGCCAGTTGGGCTTGAAAGTACACTTCTGTCCACCTCATGAACAGCAAGCATGGTTGGTTGTCCCTCTCCCATTTTTGGTGTCTCCACTTGAGGTTCCTTTTCATTCATTGAGATCTTGGCCAGGATCTAGTACCACTCTGAGGACCTGAAGTCTCTGAATGCCTGGAGTAAGAAGTGCTCCCCAGGCACTTTGTGGGACTCTTACCTGAATTTAGGCATGCAGTGCAAGTGCTAATCTCACTGAAGCTAGGAATGAGGCCAGTAATGTGGTTCAAGGGCCTTCTGCCATGGGGAAATGTGTATCAAGGCTTAACCTTTTTCACCAGTCTTCAATTTACTTCAGTTGCTTCAAAAATAAGTCTTTCTGTATCTTGCTACCCCTCTTTTCATCTCCTCCTGAGCTACATCATTGGGAAGAAGGAGTTATACCTGGGCTGCAAGTTGTGTTAGGAGGAGGAATTTAGGACATCTCAGACCGAGTTGCAGGGACTGAGGGAGGTGGCAAAAAAAAATGGGTTCAGCTCTTCAGGATGTTGTGGAACCGTGACCTTGTGACTGATTTATGAGAAAGGATTAGCCCACATACAAAGTCTGCAACTCCATTGTTTGCCTTCAGAGTTCAGTTCCCTGAGGCTGACACAAAATTGCTGAGGCTAGTTCATGCTCTTTAACTCAGGGTGGGGGGAAAGAATTTTAGAAGATCGCACAAGTGGCCTCTCATTCATCTAACACCAAGCACATTGCCTAAGGTAGATGTTGAGGCAGTATCTGTGATCAGAGGACAGAGAGGGACAAATCTGGAGAGCAACCCATCTTTGTTTAAATTAAATGCATCCTTCTCTAAGTCGACTAAAGAGAGCCTAGATGTTAGACTTGGGTTAGGCAGCTGGTGTTGAGTGAAATGAATTCTTCCAGTAGTGGCTGAAGACTTGGCTGCTTTTGGAAGCTTCCCCCATGGGGTTCCTAAGCAACTGATGGAAATTTTGGCTTTGTGGTTGAATTGGGAAGGCACTTGGGCATACTGAAGAGGGGAGTTACAAAACTGGATCGATTAAAAGGGGGATCTGGGGACCATGTACACCTGACTGGCAATTGTATCGGGGTCCTGGCCTGCTTGTTGCTGGCTGTGAGAAGTATGTGGGCTGCTCCTTTGCTTTTTGAAGAAGTTAAGAATTTGCAGGTGAAAGAAAGCAGCATCCCAGTAACATAGCATCACCACTGGCAGGACAGCAGTATTTTCAGATTGTCATTGGAATTATCCCTTGTCTTTAACTCTTGAAATATGGTCAGAAGGAGAGGTTTCTGTGCAGTAATTTAGGTGGTAAAGCTCCAGGCGTGCTGTGCAATCTGAGATGCTGGTTTGTACTTCTCATCTTATGTTGATGGGTAAATAAACTTGTGTTTTGCTGTGGGGTAGAAGCGAGCACATGGCAGTTACTTCAGAGTGCGTGAGTCACTGCAAATTTGTACTCCACTATATCTCTGCAACAAGTTGTTTGTGTGCCTGTACCCTTACTTAGATAACAGCAAAGAGGCCCAGGTCTAACCTCTCAGAAGCTTCAGACTTTATCTCAGTGGTTTTTTATCTGTGCTCCCCAAAACATTGAGCTCTTTTTCAGAGTAAGTGATTTGAGGGAAGAAATCAAGCTTTGAGGTTTTTCTTAAACAGATAGTGACAGAGCGGGAGAAAGGGTTTCAAAGCACTTGAGGGGGTCGCAGCTCTTGTACTCTTTATTTTGGGGGAAGCAGCTGTACAGCATCAAGCCTCAACGAGTTAAAGCAAAAAAATGAAAGTGGTTTGGATGGGGGGAGAGACCACAACCTCCATGGTACCGCAGAGTGGGAAAGAGCAATTTTGGTGCAGACTTGAGAAACAAACAGCATTCAGACATGGCTGTCTCGGTGGTGGGCAGGAGCTGCTGTGGAGCTGGTAGTGCCTGCAGGGATGGTCACTGGGATCTCTTTCCAGCCAGGTGTAGGTGAAAGGGGGGCAGAGAGGATTCACGCTAGCTAGGTGCTATTCAGTGGCTCCCCTGTCCACCCTCTCAGCCTGGCCACACTTCTGCTCTCTGCTGTTTCTCATTGGTCTCACCCTGCCCGGGTAGGCTGGTGCCTGGATCTCTGACCTGTTCCCCTGGGTCCTGCCTGGCTGTGACAGCTCCCAGGGGCTGGGTGTGGTTTTTTTGGCTGGCAGCCCCATTGTGGTGAAGTTTCAGCATCGTGC